CAAAGGTAAATATACAAAGTTTGTGTCTTTTATCTTACAAACCCACTGATTGTCACTGCTGCTTGTGTTGAGACGCTCCAAACCTTGACATTCGCACCATCTTGGGAGTAGCGTAGGAGAAGCCGCTGTCCTGTAGAGGATGGAGAGACCCAAGACACGACACAGCAGACAGCTGCCTTGCGCTGGGCCTTCTGAAGCTCACAAGGTGTGAGAACCAGCTTGTAGGAAGAAATAAAAACAGGACTTCAGACGACGTGGCCACACTGTGATCAGGGCACATGACCCAGGAACACGATGAGCAGAGCTCCAGAGAACACATTGCATGCTTCAAGCTGAGGGTTCTGTGACAAAGGGGAGGGGAGGGACGAGGGGGTTCACTAGAGGCAGAACTGGTGGGTCGTCGGCTGTTTTCCTTGGATAGTTGTTTATGAAACTGTAGGGTCTGCTGTCTCTTTTTGTAACCACAAGGTATCTGGGGTGGGGTCAGCTACTTAATACAGTTCCCAAATGGCCGATTTCCTGGGGCACTGAACTCAGTTTAGGGACTTGACTCTGTGTGTGTGTGTCTTTGAGTAGGTGTGTAAAATGGGTCTACAAAGCAAGCATTTACTGATTATAAGTCATAAAAATTTATTTAAAATTATTCTTTAGTATGCATATGATTTTAGCATTTAGCAAGAATGAAAGTTAATTTGCATACTAATGACATGAGTTGCTTAATTATTTTTACGGAACGTTAAAGCTTGGCCGAATGACATTGCAGGGTGCACCCCATCTTCGCTGCTTTTCAGAGTGACTAATATTTTGATTTTATAATTTTCACTGTTGAGCACGCCACTTGAAATAAACGCATAGTACCAAGTGACAGAAGTATATTTAGGGACATTTCCCAAATTGTTGGAAATTCTGTCTTATCCCAAGCCATAATTCATTGAATTATTTTTTATTTGAGTTTCAAGTGAGCAATTCAAACAGCAGCTTTAAAAATAAAAATCGACCATATAATAATTTGACACATACTGAGGAATAATGATAGGAAAATATTAAGAGTCTTTGTTTTCCCTAATTAAGCAATTATGTTGCCGGGAGACATAAAATGCCATTATTCCTTAAAGAATCAAACCAACTTCGGTTTCAATAAAATTAGTAAGATTGTTCTGATTAGGTAAAAGTAAAGCAGCACCAATAAAACATTATCAAGGCAAATTAGGATTAAAAAGCCATAGGATAATTTATAAAACTCTTAAGCATGTCCTTTAACATTTCATGAGTTTTTCCTTCTAGTTGTCGTTGTTGCTTAGAAATCAGGGATGTTTGAGTTCCAGGACTTGGGCAAGTGGCTAAGGAAACGTGTTTGTCCACTCCGGGAGACTCTCTTGTCTCAGTGCGGCCTGAGGGTTGGAGAATGCAGAGGACTGCAGCTCGGCTGGAAAGGGGTTCAGGCAGGGAGAGCCAGGCCACAGCAGCCCAGGGAAACACAGAGGCTGCTGCCTCCCCGTGAGTCCACAGCGGCTGCCTGGCTGGGGCCTTGGCTTGATGCTCAGGGACTACACAGTGATCTGCTTCCCTGCGGAAGTTTTCAGAGGCACAGCCGAGCATGCTAAAATGGCATTTCTACCTACTCAGAACATTATGTTTCTGTGTGCCCATATGCCCGACTTATTTTCAAATGTATTTGAAAAAAAAGAAAAAAAAAAGGAGAGAGATTCTCGGTACTGAAGCTGTGGAGTAAAATACATACGGTCGCTTAAATCTCTCCATAGGCTCCTTTGAAGTTTTTACATTGACTTCAGCAAATCCATGTTTGTAACACACGGATTCCTTCGCATAGAGAGTGCACTTCTTTCCAAGCTCATAGGACAGCCTGGTGAATTTGCTTTTAGCAGCTTAGTACTGGAATCCTGGACACTTGAATGGGGAGCAGAGATGTCTGTCTGGGGAAAGCCTTTTGGATTCCAGTACAAATAATCTCCAGAGGACGGCAACAGAGAAAACTGCCCGAGACGTCGGTTCTCAGAGCATCTGAGCAAGGCAGCTGTGGCTCACCTAGCCTTGGAGGCAGCATCTCTCTTTGTTGCGGAGATTTCCTCGTGAAGGCACCCAGTGACTGAGATCCCCCCAACCAGGCCAGGTACCCTAGTATATGTTAACGTCAGGGAGCTTCCGCGACTTCCGACCAAGACTGAGCTATTCTGCTATAATGTGTTCTCACAACCTCCTTTTGAATTCACGTTAGAGATAAATGACTTTACTTTGTCACACTAATTATATATTAAGGCCCCACCCTTACTCACAGTCTAACTGCATCTAGATGGTGACAACGGCTTATGGAGTCTTTGAGTGTTCAAGGTCGTGCCAGGTGCCAGGTGCCCCGAGGAGAGATGGCCAGAGCTTCTGTGATAATGGAATGCATTCTCACGTTCAGGTTCAGCAGCTGCAAGCAATGGCTGGGTGGTGTAGTGTGAGGCCTAGGCTGCCACGCATCTCCCCGCTTAGCCTGGTGCTAGCCCTCTAGGAGGGTTGGGGCATTTCCTGTGGCTAGTCCACGAACACAGAAGGAGGGACTCTCTTGGCGGGCATTTACTGCTATTCCTACGTGGGACTCAATTCCCAGCTAAGAGAAACCAGAAAGCAAAATGAAGCCAGCGGGTTCCACCGTCAGACAGTATCTGGCTTTGCCAGAAAACGGGTGAGAGTTTCACCTGTGAGTATGGGGAGCTCCATACTGTCATCCCTTGTGAAGGGGCTTGGGGACTGCCGAATGGGAAACAAAGTAATACTGGCACACCTGTCCCCAAAACAGCTTTGTATTTAATTAGTTTGAAGATGAAAACCCAGATCACGCAACGAATCACCCAAGTCTGGACAGTTTTAAGGGCAAACCCACGACACTATTAAAAATAAGCCTGTGACAACAGGCCTTGGAACAGACTCAGGCAAGCTGCAACCCTATTCATGGGTTTTCAGTCACGGTTTCTGGGTAATGAGAAGCCTGCATATTCATGGCATCATTTTATGTCCCTTGACTGGGCGCTCAACCCGTCCTGTGGCCCGTGGACAGCCTCAACTCCAGTTCCTTTTTATTCTAGGTCTGAATTTCTTCTGTTTCCATACCCAGGGATAATTTTCTTCTAGCTTCCATTTTTGACTTTGTGTGTGTGTGAGTGTGTGTGTGAGTGTGTGAGTGTGAGTGTGTGTGAGTATGTGTGACTGTGTATGTGTATGTGTGAGTGAGTGTGTGTGAGTGTGAGTGTGTGAGTGTGAATGTGTGAGTGTGTGTGAGTGTGTGAGTGAGTATGTGTGTATATGTGTAAGTGTGAGTGAGTGTGAGTGTGTGTGTGAGTGTGTGACTGAGTATGTGTGTGTATGTGTAAGTGTGAGTGAGTGTGTGAGTGTGTGTGTCTGTGAGTGTGTGTGTGTCTGTGAGTGTGTGTATGTGTGTATATGCGTGAGTGAGTGTGTGTATGTGTGCATGTGTGTGTGAGTGTGAGTGTGTGTGTATGTGTGTATGTGTGTGTGTGTGTATGCACAAACCACAATGGTAGACACAACCTGAGAGTCAATTCTCTTTCCACCATGTGGCTCCTGAGGATGGAACAGGCTTGGCAGCAAGCCCCCTCTCCCCCCAGCCATCTTGCCAGCCCTGACTTTGATATAATTATATTTGATATAGCTAACATTTTATGTGTTTGGGATGGGACCAATGGCTTTTCTTCATTTGTTTAGACTCCAGAATTAAGAAAAAATAAAGGTTTAGCTTCTGGTATCAGGGTCCCACAATGCAATGTGTAAACCTGTCAGGAACCCACCCAAGGGAAACTGGAGCTGGTTTTCAAATCCGGGCACCCAGGGGTTTGTTTCCGAAGACAGAACAACAGCCTTGCTCTAAAATATTTATATCCTGAATTAAAACTTCAAAATCTAAACCCAGGGAAGGAACTGAGGTTATTGTTTTACCACATCTGTTAGCTCTCTGTTACCAAGCAAAATGTCCAAGGCAGCCAACTGAAAGGGAAGAGAATTCTGCATTAGTTCCCGGCCACTGCTGGCTGCTTTCAGGAGGTGGGGGGGCACAGTGAGGGCCGGTGCTGCTCTCTGCATGGTGGCCGGGAAGCTGAGGGAAAGACAAGGGGAGTGGTTGGGACCCCACATCCTTTCCAAGTATATACACCTGTGATGTCACTTCCTTCCCCCAAGCCCCACCTCCTGAAGGTTCTGTCCCCTTCCTGTAGGTGGCAGACCGGAGAACAAGCCATGACCTTCTGGGTCAGTCCTGAGTTCAATTCCCAGCAACCACATGGTGGCTCACAACCATCCATAATGAGATCTGGTGCCCTCTTCTGGCGTGCAGACATACATGGAGGCAGGGTGTTGCATTTATAATAAATAAATAAATCTTAAAATTTTTTTTAAAAAGTCAAGACGCAGTTGAGTGTTGGTCGTGGTAGTGGCGCAGGCCTTTAGAGTCAGCGCTGGGGAGGGAGGCAGAGGCAGGTGGATCGCTGTGAGTTTGAGGCCAGCCTGGTCTACAGGTGGGGGGTTGTGGGGGGCGTCGGTCAAATGACGACACGGGGGATATTCACGGAGGTGGGCTGTTATTTTCCAGTACAAGTGTGGACGTCCCGATGAATCGACTCCGCGTTCCTGGAGCATGGGGCACGTCAGGGCGCAGATGGTGGAGTCAGAGTCCCCACCAGCAAATCACCGTTCCCAAACCCCGAGGCCCCGCAGTTTCATATTCCTAACATAGGACTTAGTACCCTAACCGTGTCTCCTGAAAAAGGATGCAGCAATGGAAAAAAACACCTGCCCGCATCCGCTTGCAGGGTTCCCGGTTGGCTGGTTCTCCGAGGCTCGGCCACAGCTCCCAGCAGTCTGCAAAGGCTTACACTCTGACAGGGACTGATGAGGCCCGGGGTTGGGGGGTGGGGGCGGGGGTGGGGATGCGCGAAGACTCCCAATATTACTTTCTCTTTTTTGACATTTAAAAATAGCAGATCACACGGTGGATAACTCCATGCTGGAAGGTTACTGAAGCTTATACGCACCAGTCTGCCTGCCAGCCTTATAGAATGCCTGTCTCTGGCGTCCTAAAGGGAGAGTAGCTGCAGAAGGTCTCAGCTGTCTGGACTTGCACCCAAGGATCAAGGCCTCCTTGTTCTGTAGCCTTTAGTAGAACCCAGTATACAAACAGAGAGGCAAACCCAGGTAAGACATACGCACACCCACTCCCCAGCTCATCTGACCACTCCCTAAATGCATCACTACCTTCTGAAAGGCAAGTCAGGCAACAGCCGAGTGCTGTCGTAGGCTGAAAACCAAGTATGTAGCATGTGATAGTGTACGTCCCTATATATATAAAGTGAGTATTATCCAATCCCCAGGAAGAAGGAAATTCTCTTATATGCTGCCATGTGAGGTTGATAGAATTCTTTCCCCGAGGAGAGGTCAGCAACCTCTGTACCTTCCCCCAAAAGGTTCCCATGACAAAGCGTAGTACTGTCCCAATAAAGTTCGCTATGGGAACCAGTACAGCTATCAGGCTTATGTACAGAGCTGTGGGGGTACCTCCCCCAAAGCAGATGCACCCGGAAGTCTTTATCCATCACGATGCTGCCCCTTCCTCTCCATCAGCCTTTCCCAGCCTATACTCTGGCACCTCCCGAGATCCCAAGGCCACGGAGGAGCAGAGCTGAAGGTCATGCAGACGGCTGCAGGGAGTGTCTGGAATGTCAGGTGATGGTCAGGTGACCCTCCCTGACCCCTCCATCTCCAAAGAAGCTTCGACAGGCCTGAGCCTGAAGGTCTCTGATTTGGAAGTCCTGTGTCAATAAAGCACTGCTGGCCAATAGGAATCTAGATAGGTGGGACTAGGAGTCCAGGAGGACTCTGGGAAGGAGAAACACAGAGAGTCAAGATGTAATGCCATGGGGTAGGAAGCCCCGAACTATTCTCCGGTAAGAGAAATACTTAGATTAACAATTATGGGGTAATTACTTAAGTCAGAGCTAGCCAGTAAGAAACAAGCAAGGCCAACAGCTTCATAATTAATACAGCCCCCTGTGTGTTATTTGGGACTGATACGGCTCTGGAACCAGGCTGGCGGGAAGGTTTCTCTCAAGGAAAACGCTTCTCTTTACAGGTTTCTTACAAGCAGCCACAGCAAGTGGGATGAAGGTGGCCCGGCCATTCTATAGCCGTTGACAAACCTTGAACATACTGTACAAAGTAAAATTAGCCAGTCACAGATGCAGACGTGCTCCATGGGCCGATGAAAAACCTACAGTAGGAGGAGAGAATAGAAACGAGCGTCCGATGGGCATAAATCGTATCTGGAGTAGTGAAGGCGTTCTGGGAGGGGCAGCGTGTATGACTTGTGAACGCGCTCCTGCAAGTGAACGTGCGCATTCAGGCACAGAAAATCTTGTAACGCATACATTTCCCCTGCTCACCGAGGAAGGAAAGGCAGGAGGACTGCCGTTCTGGGAAAACGACGGACATGCGCTTTTCCTCCTGTCTTCGGTTAAGCACAGCTCAAACCCCGGTGGTGACCCACGAAACAAACCGAAGGCTAGAGAGGAGGCAAGCCCAACTGAAGCCCTGGGGAGTCACCGGGGTTGGTTTTTCCTTATAACCTAGGCTGGGGCCTGGAGACTTCGGCAGTCTAGATGCACAAACCATTCCAGGAAAGAAGGAAGGAAGGGAGAGAGAGGAAGGGAGGGAAGGAAAGAGAAGGAGAGGAAGGAAGGGAGAGAGGAAGGGAGGGAGAGAAGGAAGAAGGAAGGAAGGGAGAGAGGAAGGGAGGGAGGGAGAGAAAGAGAAGGAGAGGAAGGAAGGAAGGGAGAGAGGAAGGGAGGGAGGGAAGGAAGAAGGAAGGAAGGGAGAGAGGAAGAAGGGAGGGAGAGAAAGAGGAGAGGAAGGAGCAATGGGAAGGAGACAGGAGAGACAACTATGATGACTCAATGGAACAAGCAGGCAGGCCCAAGACACTGAAGGGGCATCTGTAAGCCATAACTGAGTGACTCCAGAGGTTTCTATGCCATTTCACCCCAAATGTTGGAGTTTCAAACCTGCTTGCATGGGATCGAAGGTATCCAGCAACTCCATCAGAAAACCCTTATGCAAAGCCTTCCCTTGGTTTAAATGTCACTCATTAACTTACCCCTAACCTCCATGGCGACTTGGTTCTGGATTTAATGATGTCATCCCGGGTCACGTGGCTCCTAGCCATGCCAGGAAACTTCAGGGTGTCGAACAGGCAACTGTTGGCGATATTCGACAACCAGAATTGCTGCTGTTCCAACACTTCAACAACAACAACAAAAATACAAAACATGGATTTCTAAAGTTTTAGTCATCATCCCTGGTAGAGATGCGTTAGCCTTTGATGCCGTGGAAGCAAATTTAACGCAAAGGAAAGCCCAAGTGTTAAGTCTCTGCTGCCCACTGCAAAACAGGGTTAGGGAGAGCGCAAGGGCGGGCGGAGGCCATCACATCTCAAGTGTTACGATGACCATGGATACCTAGCGATTAAGAAATCAAGTTAACTGCTTACAAGTGCCATGACAAAGTCACAAATCTAGTGTAGTACCCCGAGAACAGTCTAGAAAAATCGAGTCTGCTTTCTCAGACACCTAGGCAGAACTAACTGACCACAGCTCTGTGCTCCCTGCTGAGCACTCAGCACCAAGGCTCATGTGCCCTGTGAGCTGTGGAGGCCACGACTCCTCTTTGCATCTCTGGTCAGTGCCGCCGGGTCATGGGGTCCAAGCCTTCACTGACAAGTGACGTTCTTCACTGAGGACACCGAGATGCAATCACACCATCTCCCATTCGATTGTCTTCCCGGATCTGGGTGGTATCATGGCTCTGCCTTCCACATGGCTGTGGAAGTAGATTTTTAACCCTATCTGCCTTGCAGACAAAAGCCTGGCTGGTGGCGAGCGGTTATGTGACTTTGAGCCATACGAGTTTCAGTATGTAAGAAGTTTAGCCATCGGCACTTACTCCATATTTTACCCTCAGAGATCCACCCGGTGGGAAATCAAAGAATCTGCCACTCATATCCTCATGACAGTTTTACCCCTCCCTTAGTGAAACCACTGGAGGGACTCTAATCTTCTAAACTGAAGATTCACTTTACAGTAGCGCAAGAAAATACATACATTGCTCTTTTAGAGGCCTGGAGATTTCGTTTCTTGTTATTTATTTGTCTTCAGGGTCTGGGAAGATGGCTCAGTTAATGAAGTGCCTGCCATGCAAGCATTAGAACCCGAGTTCAGTCTCCCAGAGCCTGTGGAAGTTCGTCAGGAATAGGGGCTTACACTGGCAAGTCCACTGCTCCTGGTGGGGAGACGGGGAGACCCGAATTGCTGCCTTTCAACTCGAATGAGAGAGCCTGTTTCAAAACACAGTGTAGAAGTTAATTGAAGCAGGCATCGTATGTCAGTTTCTAGCATCCATAGGCATGCACACACATGTTCACACACACATACATACACATATACATATACAATATACAAATACACACACATACACACAATCCCCCCAAGTCTCTACTTAAAAACGAGATAGGAGGAATGACACACACTCTCAGGTGACAATTAGAAATACATTAGCAGGATATCCTAAGTCAGAGTTCATGAAGTTTGTTATTTACTCTCAGATGTCTGCTCTCGTTTACTTGCAGGAGCTGTTTATCTCAAGTCTGGAATTAATGTACGTCACAGAGCCACAGATGACACGTCCCGTCTTAAGTTCTGCTGTCTCATCTGAAGGGGTCGTCAGTCCTGGCCATTAGTCTTCTTTGTTAAGCCCAGCTCAAGGAGGGGATTTTCGACCCATCTTCCATTATACTGGGGATATGTTATGGTCTGTCCAGAATGTTGGAGGCAGTGCAGTCTGAGTGAATTAATACGCTCTGCCAATCCTGCCTGTCAGGATGAGGGAGGTGGTTGGGACTAATGTGTGACCCCTGCAAAGGCAGAAACCAGAGCACGCTGGCCAGTCGGTAAACACAGGATTCAACAGTCAGTTCCAAAGTCACTCGGAGTCAGTGAAATCAACCTTGAGAATAAATCGTTTTAAATGAGTTGTCAGATGTACAGAATGCACCAGGATCCCCTCACTTAACTTTCCTTTTGTAATGTTTGTGTGTGCGTGTGTGTGCATGCGTGTGTGTGTGTGTGTGTGTGTGTGTGTGTGTGTGTGTGTGTGTGTGTGTGGTCAGAGGACCCAACGTGGGCTTGCTCTAGACCACTCCAGAGAGACAGAGTAGCAATTCCCTTAATGAGATACCAGGCTTTCCCTTCACAGAATTCCTGCCCTGTTGTGGAGGTCCCTACAAGCCACCACGAGGTTGTTACAGGGCTTGCTGGATCCATCTGCCTTTTCCTATTCAGAAAGGGGCAGCTTTTGTTTCTCCTGTTTTGTCTCTTTCTTTGCTTTTCTTTTCCTGATGCTGTGAGCTTCCTCTCTTTCTCTGGAGGTCTCTCCTCGCCACATTGCTGCCCACTGCAAAGTGATGAAACTCTGCCAGTGTAACTCAAAAAATTAAAGACGAAAACAAGCATGGCCTTTCCCCTGCTCCTCCCCCTATTTCCCTCTTCTGTGAGTTATAAAGCTCCCAGAATTTAAAGCTTTCTTGCCCTGGAGTATATTCCCTTTAAACACTGACAAAAGTGTCCCGAAAGTCTTTTTTTAAAATTCCTTTTATTAATGAGACTAAGTCCTCCGTCTCTCTTTCTTTCTCTGCCTCTGTGTCTGTCTCTCTGTCTCTTTCTCCCTCCCTCCCTCCCTCCCTCTCTCCCTCCCTCCCTCCCTCTCTCCCTCCCTTCTTCCTTCCCTCCTCTCTCTCTCTCTCTCTCTCTCTCTCTCTCTCTCTCTCTCTCTCTCTCTCTCTCTCTCTCTCTCTCTCTCTCTGTGTGCTGTAGCATCTAGGAAGGAATTCCCCAAACCTCCAGTAGTGAGGGTTGATGGTAAGCCTCTACTACCCGAGGATCTCCCATGCCATGTTTTTTTTTGTTTTTTGTTTTTTGTTTTTTAAAGATTTATTTCTTGTGTATACAGTGTTCTGTCTATGTGCATGCAGGCCAGAAGAGGGCACCAGGTCTCATTACAGATGCCTGTGAGCCACCATGTGGTTGCTGGGAATTGAACTCAGGACCTCTGGAAGAGCAGTCAGTGCTCTTAACCTCTGAGCATCTCTCCAGCCTCCATGCCATGTTTTATTGCTTTAACTCAATAGCATAGACCAGCCACCAGACCAGCGTAGATTTGCCACTTAGAGATTAGGAAACAGGATTTCCTTTTGTTCTGTGACGCCACCCGTGTGGATTTAGTTCCTCTCTTTCTTTCAGGATAGTGTCATTTATGGGTTTCCTCTTCAACACTGCAAAGGAAATTCAAGATTTAATTCTTTTTCTGCCCAAAGTGACAGTTTTGGCTTAGTGACAAAACCTGGTTATTGTTTTGAAGATAAGTATCAAGAAGTAGAAATTGGAATCTGAGAGAGAGAAAAAAAACTCTTTGTAGTTTCATTTCCATCAAGTTTCTTTAGACACATTATTTGTTGCAACTTTGGAGCAGAGGGCATTGTGCTTGGCCTTAGCTAGTAAAACGTGTGCGGAAGGGAAGCTGTAGACAGTGATGGGAGAGAGACAGGCTGGCGTTACGACAGAAATACGAAGCAAGTTTGTGTAAGAGGAAGAAGAAGGCACAAATCGATTCCAATGTGGGGATTTTAGAAGATGTTGGAAAGGTTTTAGACCTAAAAGAATACATTTTTAACAATGGTATAGGCATAATATTCTGTCACACCACGTAGCTCCCAAGTAACCACACAGAGACGTATTATTAATTACAATTACTTGGCTGATAGCTTAGGCTTGTTACTTACTAACTCTTAGGAGGTAACCCCCATATTTCTTAGCTACATTCTACCGCGTTCCTTGGTACCTTCGTTTAACCTGCCGTCTTACTCTTCCCCAAGTCTCCTGGCAACTCCACCCTTATTCATCCCAGCTCTCTCTCTCTCTCCCTGTCTTCAAGTCCAACCTAACCTCTGCTTGCCTAGCAATTGGCCATTCAGCTCTTTATTAAATCAATGAGAGCAACACATCTTCACAGTGTGCAAAAAGAATACTTCACAACACAACACAATAAGAATAAGAAACGAGGGAGGCCTGGACAACAAGGTGTGGGGGTGGGGGTGGGGTGCAGAGAATGCTGTAGAAGCACCAAGTACTGAGAAGTACTCATCTGAGCAGATAACATCATCACTCCATGGCATGGTTAAGGGGAGGTGTTTATTGTAGACACGAGAGAGCAGCCAGAGTCAATACAGAAGAGTCCAGAGCAGAGAGAGAGAGAGAGCAGTGGCTGAGTACAGACAGAGAGCAGAGAGAGAGAGAGAGAGAGAGAGAGCAGTGGCTGAGTACAGAGAGCAGAGAGAGAGAGAGAGAGAGAAGTGGCTGAGTACAGATAGAGAGCAGAGAGAGAGAGAGAGAGAGAGAGAGCAGTGGCTGAGTACAGACAGAGAGCAGAGAGAGAGAGAGAGAGAGAGAGAGAGAGAGAGAGAGAGAGAGAGAGAGAGAGAGAGAGAGAGAGAGAGAGAGAGAGAGGGAGAGGGAGAGAGAGAGAGAAGTGGCTGAGTACAGACAGAGGAGGGGACTTGGTTACGAGAGAAGCAGGAGCAGAGCAGAGAGGGGGGTGAGTGATGAAGACTGGGGGGGGAGGGAGAAAGAGAGACAGAGACAGAGACAGAGACAGAGGGAGGGTGGAGAGGGAGGGAGAAGAGAGAGAGGGGAGAGGGAGGGAGAGAGGTGGGAGAGGGGAAAGGATGGAATGAGAGAGGCTCTGTTTTGCTAGAGACAAGCAGAGACTCACATGGCTTGCTTAAGGGCTTAAGGGAGTCTTCCTGACTCTGCATAAGCAAAAAAAAAAAAAATAGAGGCTCTGCTAACAATTGAAAGGTGTGCACGAGCATCTGGCAGTGGCAGTGACCACATCTCCAAGACGACACCATGATGCTGGATGTCAGCATAGACTGAGGCGGTGAGCTGGAGTCAAGCTTACACCCGCCATGTTGGAAAGCCAGTGGCTGTTTCCACTTTAAATTTAGCAGTGTTCTTTAGCTTATATAAGACACATGGGCCGGGCGGTGGTGGCGCACGCCTTTAATCCCAGCACTCGGGAGGCAGAGGCAGGCGGATCTCTGTGAGTTCGAGGCCAGCCTGGTCTACATAGCGAGTTCCAGTCCCAAAGCCACAGAGAAACCCTGTCTCGAAAAACAAAAAAACCAAAACAAACAAACAAAAAAAGAGACACGAGGCCAGAAAAACATAAAGTTTTACAGTAAAGTCAGATTCAGATGAAGAAAAATATAGGTAGACTTGGAAGAGTAAAAGAAATAAGATATTGGAAAAAATAAAAAATAAGGAAAGTAGCTGCCTTTTATCCCAGCACTGTGGAGGAAAACATAAACAAAGAGAGTATCTGGGTGTAGTGGCACACGCCTTTAATCCCAACACTCCAGGCAGAGGCAGGTGGATTTCCAAAGAGATACCCTGTCTCAGAGAAAAATAAATAAAAGAGATAGAATAATATAAGCCACATAGAGATGGAAAATACACAGAAAGTCTGGATACTGCATGCTATTGCGTTTTTCAGTTGTTAAGTGGCTAAGGAAGGAACAACTGCTGAAATATACTTGATTATAAATGCTGCTGGTTTAATCCAACTTATATATTTCAAAAATGCTTTGACTTCTAACTTTAAGTATAAGGACCGGTTACTTGGGAAAAGAGTTTTTGTTGATGTTTCCACAGAAAATAGAAAGCTGTGGATTCCTTCCAGGCTTCTGTGGTTTGATGAACCAAGACTCCAAGAAGCAGTGGCCCAGGTGATCTAGCATTTGAAACAGCTGAGATGATGCAGTCTTATGGACTACAAAACAAGGACTTAGCCAGTTTTTCGAGTTTTGTCATGATCCCATGGTATGGACAGTGCCCCCTATCAGCAGGAAGCAGTTTGGAATGAGCAATGTGCAAGTTCCCAAATATTGTTTATAAATCTTTGTTTTCATTTGAATGGGGTTGCTTATAATTGGTTAATGATCACAACCAATCTCTTTTTAAGGGTAAAAGGGGATTATGGTATGGAAATGAATACTTTGTATTGGTATAGTTTTTCATTTATTGATACAAATTCAAGGTGAATTTTGTGATATGTATATTTCTCCTCTTGATTACTAAGTATTGTGTTTATACTGATCTTTTAAAATGTAACACATAATTAAGTACAGATCATAGATAGTTACTTATAAAAGCCAGAGCTTATAGTTAGGTATTCTAGATATACAGAGATGTATTTAAGATAGATAGACAGTCTTCAAACCTTTCAAAGACCTTCAGAAAATGGCATTTAAAATGGTTTAGGGGTTTTTCTTGACAATGAGAAATAGCAGCACCAATTAAGTCTGAGAGGAAGATGTGCATCGAAGAAACTCATGGAGTTTGCTTTCAACATGGCAAGATTAGCCATCTGGGCAAGAAACTGCTCTTGCCTGGACTGTTTGCCCTTTGCTGTATAATCTGGACATGCAGGATCCACAGGAAAGTGACTGCTGAACTTGGACAGTCCTAAGGGTTCCTGCTTCATTTAAGAGTCTGCCAGAATTTCTGCAGGACACAGAAAAATAACTGACAGACTGCCAGTGCAGATGGACAGCTTGAAATTTCCTGCTTTGGCTGAGAAGTCTTCCAAACACATTGTGGCCTTTGGGCTGAAGATGGATGTCCCAACATTACAGGGGAACTTTGGGTGACTGTCCAGGTAGCAAGATTCTGGGAAAGAGAGACACAGGCAGACACAATGTAGGGCCACCAGAGGAATAAGAAGTCAGAACCCCTTTCTCCAGTAAGAGAAATACTTAGATTAACAATTACAGGTTAAATACTTAAGTCAGAGCTAGCCAGTAAGAAAACAAGCAAATGGCCAACAGCTTCATAAGTAATGTAGTGTCTTGTGTGTTATTTGGGGACTGGAACTGTGGCAGGGCCCAGGTAGATGGCAGGGAAGGCAACATGTCACAAAGAGTAAACTGTATTGGAAG